CAAACATACATACATACACACACACACACACACACACACACACACACACACACTGACAGGGTCGTTGCAGTATGCGTTTTGCTACCTGTTGCAGCGCTCTAGCGCTGCACGGCAAAAACGCATAAAAAGGAGTTAAAAGAGATTCAAAAAAGGATTGTTGGAAAAGATTTAAAAAAGGATCTAAAAAGTAAAATAACGAACCTTGATCGTGGAGGTTTTGTTGCTGGAAGAATTATTCGTAGCGCCATCGTCGCTAGGCGAATATTTGTTGTGCCGCTCGCTGTATCTTTATCCCCTGGAACACTGATCCTGTTGTTTGGGCAGTTTCGTCGTTGCTTGCTGTAACTGCAACATTCTTCGCACGGATTACCGCTTACATACCTGCTTCTTTATTTTGAGATGTTCCTCTGTTGTCTAAAACTCTTGCATATCTTTCCAGATTTTGCCTGCATTATCTTTGCTGATGAGTGGTGCATTGACAAGCACGCCGAAAATGCCACGTTTAGATTTTTTTTTTTTAAACAGTTCCCTTCGTTCAGCTTAGTTTCGTTTTAGAGCTTAAACGACGTCTTTCATCGTCATCTGCTGAAAATGATGACAACGAGGATGATTATGATGAATCGGATCGAATTGATGAGGAGAAGCTGAAAAGAGCTGTGGAACAACTGGATACTTATGACAAGGATTCGTCCATCGCTCATGTCATCAAGCTGAATCTCGAAGCACTCAAGAAGCAGAAGTTTGTGCTTGTACCTTTTTCATGCAATAGAATTTTTATTTATATTTTGTTGGACATTTTGAGCGAATGCACTTATGTTCCATTTCTTCGCTGAATTAATTAAGAGGACTTCTGTGGCGGGTCGTGAATCACCTCCGAGGTCGTATAGTCATACGTTCTGACAAGGTCTTGCAGGAAATTTGCATAAAACAGCTGAGCGCTCTTCCTGGATTTTGGTGACGGCCCGATAACTGAGTGATTTGCAGCAGCGTTTCCAGCGGGTGAAACTGCTCCAGTGCTAGTGGTTTGAATAATTCTGAGCGTTTGTAGAATCCTTTTTCGTGACAGTGTTTTGGAATTGCTTCAGTTGATGTTTGGAGTGCATACGCTAGAAACATTGGAAGCACTGGCTTGTTGGAATGTAAAGGAAGGCTCTCCATTCCTGTTTCGTGTCTCCACATTAGTGGGAGAAGTAGCAGAATTAAGTGAGAACTGCAATGGAAAAAGACGAAAAACGAGTTTAGTGGCACAAAATTTAAGTATTGATTGGCGAGTAGCTGTAGAATCGGAACACTTCTGTTCTTCGTTGGTTATATGAGCGACTCTGAGCCACTGCCTTCTGAATTTTTCTGCCCACAAATGGATCGTCTCGCACAGGGTGCAGTATGTTTGATTTAATTTACTGTTTATTTGCCAGATTGCCACTGCACTGGGATCCAAGAAATGCCAGCCGTACTCCATCTGCCAAAAAGATGCCACATTTGCGCTTTCGTTATGATACGCCAGTCAATGCATGTGAGTTGCTTTCTCAGTTCGATCCCGTCATTTCTGCGTAAGCCGTTTTTTCTACCATTCTGCATGGGTGAAGGAACGCTTTATGGCAACATCATGCTTTAGTATATGTGTGTGTATGTGTTTATGTGTATTTGTGTGTATGTGTGTGTGTGTGTGTGTGCGTGTGTGTGTGTGTGTGCGTGTGTGTGTGTGTGGATAATTCG